TTAAATAAACAAAATATATATATATATATATATATATATATATATATGTGGGGCTTTTATACAATATATATAAGCTTCTATTTCCCTGGGGCATCTTTTATATTTTATGTTTTGGGAGTAAAGGCATCAACAGGCCTACAAATAATAAAAGTAAAACAAACAATAAACAACAATCCTCTGAATGAACTGAAGATTTCATCACAGTTTTAGCAATAGCAGGGTGTATTAATGATAGTCACCAGTAGAGGGCGGTTAATTAGGATTTACTGCTACTTGTCCATCTTGTGCTAATCACAATGACCACTAGAGAAGGAAGCTATAAGCTGCAGTAAAACAGTAACAAAAATCTCATAGGATCTGATAATTTTTTCCAACAGATTCTTACCAGGTCCAGCCATGTTTGTTGGACATGGAGTACTTCTCCATAATAGCAGTGAGACGGAGCAAGGAAAATTTCTGTAGCAAGCTGAGCTGGGCCGCAGATTGGCTGGTGATCTGGAGAGAGGCGACCGAATGGCTGAGGCGGTTGGAAATCTGGAAGCTAGGCCATCGCAAGCTAAACAAAGAGCAGGGAACCATGTTAGGGATTCAAATCTGGGGCAAATGAATGGCTGACTTTGAGATGACAGCCACCTAAAATAGCATTTAAACCTACTACATAAAGGTTTTTGGTGTACATGCATTCATGTTATTTTTAACAGTCAACCGATTCTATCCAAACTTAAAGTTCTCAATGCAACACATATAGCATAGCATTGTTAGCACAGAATCTTACCGTCTTGGTCTGGTAAGTGAAGCCCCGACCCCTGAGTCTCTCCTTTCCCTCATTCCTACGGATTCTGTTTCATTAAGTGACACCCCATCCCTGTCTACATCATTAGGGGTTGCCTGACCCTCCTGCACTGAATGTTCCTCAAAATCCAATGTGATCTGGCTGGATGATTGCAGGTCGCCTTGCCTTTCGCCAACAAGATCAACTCGTTCCTTCCCCGCGTTTTCACTATTAGGCAATACATTCTTGGACCAGTGGTCCACGATCTGTTGCAGCCCATTAACATGCTGCAGAATATCTTCTAAATGTGGAAAAAGGTCTTCCTTTTCCAAGTCTATGAGGTCGCCGGTGCTGGCATAGAGGTGCGAGCTGGGTACATTGTCGTAAATGCTGATCCGACTTCCTCGGTTGCAGCACTGTGTGACAGGTCGAGGTTCTTTGAAGCTAGGTGGATGCTGAACATCCGAGTCCATGCTTGCCAAGTGCCAGTTGATGGAGGCTGCCATTGAGGGTGAAAGACTCTCGATGGACAGAGCTTTGGGAAAGGTTCCAGGCTTGTGATCTTTAGGAATATGGACCACCAGGTCCTCGTAGGAGTGGAACTCATTGCGTCGGTTCTGCTCAGCCACACGCTTACCCTGGATGAGACTGGAGAACACATCCAAGTCCTCCAGGTACATCCCACTGCGCTTGTGATCAGCCCGGTGGACGTTGCGTTCCTTCATGTTTGGCGTACTGATGGCACTCCCACTGGACTGGCTGCTGCTCCCTTCGCTGCTAGACTGGGAGGGCAACCCTATGCCGGAAGGTGGCTCTGCAAGACGCATGTCTCCATTGATGATCTCCACACAGCGGAGAGTTTTTACAGTCTGGGGTTCTTGTTGGAGAACCGGGGCACTTATAACAAGACTCCTGTTCCCTCCGCCACCCATTGCTCCACGTAACTGCAAAGCTTCCATGCGCCGTAAGAACTCCTTAGCTCGTGTCCGTCCTCGCTTGCTATGCTTTACAGGCAGCGAACCGTAGCTTGAAAGTTCTGAAGAGAGATGGGTCACACCTAGTGATGTGGGGTCAGGCATGGCTGCAGAGTTCGAGCAGGTGCGGTGTGAGCTGTCCGAGTCTTCCGCACTATGCACACGAACGCCACCACTGCCGCCGCTGCTCTCGCTATGGAGGGAAGAGATCTCCGGCTCGCTCAAGTCTGTCAGAACACTCTCGCTGCTGGTCGTTTTCCGCAGGGCAGAGTTTTCCCCTGGGTTCTTGTTCTCCACGCCCCTCAGCAGGCAATCGATGTCTTGGAGCCTGGACCAGCGGCGACTGCTCCATTCAAAGGTCCATTTGTCACTGATGGCAAAGAGGTCATCTTCATCTGAGTCTTCACTCTGCAGGTTAACAAGGAAATGCATAAATATGCCTTTATTTTTATTACCATATCTTTTACTACATTAGCAATTCAACTCAAGACTTGAATACCATCCCAATCTTTTGAGAAAACCCTCTTTCTTTCACTGTCTATTTTTTCCTTTTTCCTTCCCCACAATCCAGAACCCCCAGAGGTAACAGTTTAGATTCACTCAAATGGGTTTTTCATGTTTTTCAAAGGGCACATTCCTTCCTCTGTTAAA